AGAGAGAGAGAGAGAGAGAGAATGAACTAATAGTAGGAATTGAAAAGGGAAGAAAAAGTTTCAAATATTAATTGTTAACAATTTAAAATTCAACTAGAAAAAACAATTAGATTAAATCCAGCAACTTTGAAGCAATTCACTGTGTATTACGAAATGTAGAATATCAAAATTAAAGTATGAAAAACACCATTTGTAAACATAGTTAATCGACAAAAGATATTTAATTTTGTTAAATAAGTAAGCAAATGAGAGTTTGGTTTAATGTGCAAGGAAAAACCGGGCCGGATTTCTAGAATTCCATGATTTTTTTTTTCTCAGATGAGAGTAAATTTGAGTTTTACAGACCACAGATGGTCGCCAGGAGGTTTTGAGAGAACGAAATGCAGAACTCGAACCAAAGAATGAGAGGACATGAAAAACACAGTAATTGTTCGAGTGAGTGAGTGTGGTGTTAATTGGTGAAAGAACCAATTTTGGCTAAGCTGCATCAAATTTTACTAACACATTAAAAGGTTTTAAAATGTATACCTAAAAAGTTAAATTAAAACGTATTTGCAATGGTAAAACATAAAATCCCAGACTAAGTATTAGAACAAAATTTTAAAATTAAAGGCAAATAGATTTTGTTGGTGTTTTCCTCCATCAAGTCATGTAAGCTTAAAGCAGATGAATGGAAAAAAAAATTAACGCGATAATGATGAAAAACGAGACAATTAATCAAGATTAGATGAATGATGGAAGAGGCTCTTGCTTGAAGGACATTTCGGAGCATCCTCATCGAATAACAAATGCTTTTAAGTAAAACGAGTATGTTCAATGCGGAGGCGAGTCAGTTTGGCGTCAGCTCTTTGCATCTGAAATCTGAAGGGGAAAAAATCTGAAGCGGATTTTGAAAAAAATCGCTTCTCGTATTGCTCTGTGAGGAGTGATTGCGAGTGAGGGAATGATTGAATATTAACGTCGCACTGTTAAGCTACACAAGGGCTTTTGGAGACGGACCTCGTAAATTTCAACCATGGTCAAGTGACGAGGACGATAACTGAGCTGGCACCACCGGCTCCTAACTACCACACCACACCACACCAACTGGGGGACGTTTGAGCTCTCGAGAGATTTAACGGGCATTACTCCCCTACAAGATAGGTCTTAAGTCGTACTGGGCTCGAACTCATGACATGCCAGCCATGATCCGAGCCTTGACCACTAGGCTACCGTGGCCACCGTATTGCCCTGTGCATCATCCTTAGTTTCAGAGTACCAAATTCCATGCATCTAGAACAGGAGTCACCAACCTATGGCACGCGGTACAATTCTCAGTGGAATGCCTTACGCCGCTGGAAATGGGTAAGAACAGAAATGCGCATTGAGTTGAAATATGTTATTAAGATGACCAAACGTCCTTCTTTTATAGGTTCTGTCCTTCCTCGAAAAGTGTCCTTTTCATTATTTTAAAACTGATGTTAATCTCTGTATTCAGAGAGGAACCAAACACGGTTTCGAAAAATGTCGAAGAATGGTCTGAAGCAAATTTCACATTAAATAACAGTTTTCAATGGTATTTTTTGACTTTGTCGCAAGTAAATTGGGCAGATATATAATATTATGTTGAGTTTTTATCGAAAGAGAATTGCCTGATATTAAAATCAATGTCAATTGTCTGTTTAAAGTAGAAAGAAGACTGAATGTATATTTAAATTCTAATAAATTAGAACAAAAAAATTGGAAAATCAACATGCTGAGAAATTGGTAAAAGATGGGTGAAATTACTTAAACTATTTCAAAAATGAACACATTCCATATGAAAATGTAATTATTGTTGTTGAATTTACGTTGTGCTGCCCTGGAACTAATGCAGCAGTTGAAATAGTTTTTTTCAGTTGGTAATGATTTTTGTGAAGCGACTAGTTAGAAATCAAAATTGAATGCTAATATTTTAGCTACAGTCAGGAGCGCACACATGAATTTTTCAAGGGGGTGGGTCCGGGGTCGAAAGTTCACCATTCTTGTATCATGCTCCTTTTGATTTTGTTGATTTTCGGGAACAAAACACAGTAAAAAAATAATTATTGAATAAATAATTAGCAATAATTAATAAAATTAATCATTAAAAACACATAATTACATTTTATGTACTATATACTTAGAATTATAATCAATCGGAAAAAAAATCAAGAGC